TACCTTCATGAAACCACGGGTTTCTCGCTATTCTCAATAATACAGGATAGTCCGAAAATAATTGGGGTATAGAGTCCTGGAATGTGTGGTTAGTATTGTATATATTGTCGGTGAATAAATTATCTTCGCAAGACCTATACCTAACTGGAGCAGCTTGTCATTTTAATATTCCTAAACAACCATGTGTGAAGAAAACAATGGTATGGGAAACTTCAGAAACACGATAGAAAAATGCGGCCTAATCATGGAAAACATGATTGCTAGATTAACAAAGCACATCACATGCGACCCTATGAGCCTTCGTGGCGTTGATCAAGTCACTGTTCAAATTCTTGCGCGATGAAGGGAAACCATGTGAGCCTTTGAGATATTGATCAAGTTAGGTCCTGGTTGAGAGAGACATTATGTGGGATCATTAATAAATATTTAAAAAGTTCAAATCGTTGACCATAAGCGTGATTTAATATCTCAAAGCACGGCATTCACCCCAAATCTCACTAAACAGCCTCACAAATCTCCGACAGCTTTTGTTCTCTTGGTACACGGCATCTTCCTTTCGCTTCTCCCCCAGAACAACCTGCAATTACTTAATTACGAACAGTGGCATAACATGATGTCAGCGCGCATGTCAGCCACGACAGCGACTTCACTGGATGTAAAGAACCGGGAGTGAGAAACAGGGTAGACCAGATCGGAAGGCTACACGATTTGCTATCGCTGATTACGAATTTGGTCGCAAAAGCCAATGGGAACAGTCGCAAAGGTTGACATTTCCCCACGTAGGGATTAGTCACGACAAAATCCTCTTTTGACTCGAACAGCGTCGACATTTGAAGACAGTAGTAGAGTAGACAAAGGTTGACGTCTTATCCCTCATCCTTGCGTTTTCTGTGTTCTACGTGATCATGTCAAACTTCTTAATCCTTGCACTACGAATAGGCTAAGGAAATTTTTTTCAATTCTCGTGATCGAGTATTTTCGTGTTTCTTGTAATCAATATTTGTATAAAAAAATCATGTCATATCTATTATATTTAAAAGTATTTTGAAATACTCATTAAAAATTAAGAGTGATCGGCTTCAGATTAGGATTCCAAGGTAAGTCGATTCCCATTTTGGAATAAAAGGATCGGTTCCTAGTTCCAGAAATCGATTACTGACTCACCTAATCCTAGAACCAGATCGGACGGGTTCCAATTCTAGGGTGGATCTAAGGACCGCCGCGGATATCTTTCTTTTGTTCTTTCCTATGAAGGATCATTTGTTCACTCACTCGTTAGTCAGCATACTCTCAATCTCTGTAACACCCCCATAATATAGAAACAGACCTCCTCCCAACTCTCTCACCCCTTGCTTCTTCGCTGACCAGCAACAACGCTCCCTAGGATTCCCAATCTCCATTGGAATTCCGCTCTTAGAAAATTAAAGCAAAAGGTGCGTAACCGAATGAGGGACGCGTGTGACCACGTGAGACTGAGAGTGAGAAGTGAGAGGCGTGAGACTGAGTGAGTGAGAGGGACTGAGGGAGGCGTCGCGTGACCGTGTGAGACTGAGAGTGAGAAGTGAGAGGCGTGAGATTGAGCGAAAGCTGAGAGGGATGAGTTGAGGAGGATGAGCGGCAAGAGAATGGAAGATTAGGGTTTTGAGAAATGTTTTGTAATCAAAATTATAAAAACACCTTATTAATCCGGTCCAAACGGTTTGGGTCGGTCGTTCTATACCTAGAATTGAGAACTGGACCGATAATTACCGGTTCCAAATTTCAGGGACCGGATTCAGTTCCTGATTTGGTCCGGTTTCTGTGCTCACCTCTATTAAAAATAACATATGAAGTATTAATTTTAGTCAAGCCATGGTTTAGGTGAGAGTTGAACAGCTGACTAAATTGGATGAAAACATTAAAGTTCGTGTCATGTGTTGGTCTTCCTCTTTAATAGAGTGCCCATGGAGTTGCTGGGAATGCCCAATGATTTGCTTATTATATTCTTTCTTATCTTCATCTTTTTATTATTTAGTTTAGGACCCTTACGCAATCTTAAACAAACGATAAACAAGAACATGAATTGTCAGGAAGATGACTCAATATTTCACTATGCTTCATTTCTAACTATAATACGGGTCACTGGAGCTTTTGGCCCCGATACTCTTCACAGATGTGCGCAAATTGCCCCGTCGAGACATCCTCGTTTATCATAAAAAGCCGATGTGCTCCCTAAGTTACTTTACAAAATAATTCATAGAATCATATATCAAAACCTTCGTTACTCAACCATTCATAGAAAAACATAAAATTAATCAGTTTAAACGAACCTAATGCTTCACTAAACAACTGGACAAAAGTAGTTTGAGCATGGTACATCGCGGATCTCCTCTATATCATTCCTTGTCATCCTAAATGAGGTCGAGAAGTACCGGGTCATCTCACATTACTAAAATCAAGCCACAATGATAACTAATAAAACACGAGCTTTTCCATCAGCAATTTATGGTATGTTTGTATAGCGGCGGTCTGCTATAAAAAATCAATAGCTTGTTTTTTCTTTCATTACGTATGAGATGATACTCTTACAAGCACTTTCTTGCTGGGTTTTCTGTTCCTGTATCTGGAATCACTCTATTCACCACATAAGATCGGACACGAATATGCAGGCCAATGTGGTCCTAGAACGATAATGCCGTCGCAACCTACGGGAGCCATAAAAGGTGGTTGGCACTGTTTCTCTCTGCCCCAATCGCCACCCGTGCATGCAAGAAGTCTACATTAATCAAGCAGTAAGTATCTGTTGTGGAAGCCAAGCGATCGAACAGTAAAATTGACAGAATAACGAAAATAAATCGGACACAAGATTTACGTGATTTTGTCGTAGTAACCTACGTCCATAGGGAGAGCGGCACGAAATTCCACTATAAATCAAGCGATACAACGGAGATTACAACCACATTCGAGTCACTCAAACACTTTCAGTATTTCCCAAGCCTCAATTACACCCAATAGCTCATGCAGTGTTGAGCTCCACAATTCCTCACGAAATAATCTCTCAATCTCATGAAGGAATTGTACACAAATCTTAAGACAAGATTTAATCGCTTGAACACTAATTCTTCTTGGATGTAATTCACGAACAAGAATCCACGGAAACATCCACTACCAAGCACTCACGAACTCGGTGCTTCCTTCTTCGTGCGCAATAACAGTGCTTCTTGTTCACTTGCACGGCACACCAAGCACTTGTATTAGGGCGATCAAGTCTTCATCGCATCCATCAACTATGGCTTTTAAAAGAATTGTTCCCGGGTTTTCTTAATTAAAATTTTAATCCAATCAATTAAATCAAGTATATGGACTCTTAAAGAAATGATGACGTGTCAGCATGGTCAATTCGCCAATTGGCAAATCGGGGCATTGGTCGGGTCGCGCGGGCGAAAACGATTGGTTTTTCTTCTGTCTGATCGCAACAGGGAGTGACCCAACAGAAGAAATTTTCCTGAAAAATGATTGATTGTATCGCTTACAAAAATAAATGAACGAAAAATATTTTCATCGTCTACAAAAGTATTTAAACATAAATTGTTGCCAATAATGAAAAGATTTTCCGTTGACTAATAATTTCAAGCGGTACGAGCGTTTACCTTCGAAAAAACGTCATTCAAATCATTCATTTTTTTTCACTAAATAAATGGACCAACATTGGGGCTGGCCTGTTTGTCATCGTCACATACTTTTCTTTCGTCTTGATCCCGACGTTGTCCAATACGACCAGGTGCACTCCCATGATTGAATTTTCAATACAAAGATAAAGACAGTGAAAATGATACTTCCTTATAAGTATGAACAATCGATCTTCTAAAAACACAGTGTTATATAAAAAAAGAAATAAATTAAAAAAATGGTATACTCAACATATTACTCGGACCTTAGCATGTCCCTAAAATGCTACACCTAGACCACGACGTGTAAAAATAAGTTTGGGTATTGTCAGAGTCAGGGCAAGAAAAATATTCTGACCCAACAAGGGAGGATTAGGCATGTGCGAGCACCTGCAAGTTAAAATAAGGAACACATGAGTGGAGCTCGGCTGGTTGCAAGACAGGCCGCCAAGGCCCCCAGTGACAATGAACTCCGGTCTGATCTTCAACCTAGGCCTAGAGGGAGCTTCCCCCGGTTCAAAGTTCATCGATCACATACTTTTCTTTCGTCTTGATCCCGACGTTTACTTACTCCCATGATTGAATTCCTCAAATACAAGATAAAGTCAGTGAAAACGACAGTTCCTTGTAAGTTTGAGCAACCGTTCTCGTGAAAACTTAGAGGTATATAAAAAAGAAATAAAAGGTAAAAAATTGGTGTACTCAATATATATTACTCAAGATTCCATCTCATGTGTACGTCAGTCCTTCCTTACACATGAAATATAAAGAAATTGACGTACTTCCATCGAGCAAGTGATTGAAGATGTGGGGAAGGAGTAGCTATTAAAGTAATGATGGGAGAGTCAGAATGCGTACTAATGAATTGTACAGATTAGGGGTGTCAACAAAACCTAGGCTGGCCCGGCCCGGACCGCGCCGACCCAACTCGGCCTTAAAATTTGGGATATTTTGAGGTCAAGCCTTAATCTTCTTCGAATATGGCCCTAAAATTTGGGGTGTCATAAGGGTTGGGATAAGGTCGGGCCGACCCATTGACACTCTGGGCCGACCCATCTCCCTCTCTCAGTCTCTCTCCCATTCTCTCTCCCCTCTCTACGCGCAGAGCATGATGAAAAATCCCTAGATCTAAGCCAGCCGATCAACGACGAAATCGATCGTCACCATCACCATTCGCTTCTTGCTTCATGAAAAATTTCTCGAAATTTGCTAATTTCGCTGTTCGTTTCTTGGAACTGTGGAAATTGGCTTCGTCTTGAATGCGGTTTTTCACGGTATTGTGGGAATCTGAGGGAACCAAGACCTCCTCGTTCACCCTCTGACATGCCCGTTGGGGGTGATGAGTTTCGGTTTTTCCCGGGTCATAAATTCTTCTGTCCCTTTCCTTATCCGTTGATTTCCACTCGCTCTCCAGCAAAAAGTTAATTCACCGATGCTGCTCGTGTATATGGAACCATCTGCGCGCCAAGGACCGGATCCGGGGGCGGCAGAGTCCGGAGCCGGGAGGCGTTGGGCTCGGACAGCGTGCGGAGGCCGATCGTGTCGCTGACGAAGTATTTGGCCGGGGATTCGGCGGAGGACGAGGTGTCCGGAGGAGTGGAGAAGGTTGATTTGAGCGGCAGAGGAAGCCAAGACAGTGAAGAGGAAGTAGAGGAGGAGGAGGAGTGGGTTGATTGGGAGGATAAGATATTGGAGGACACGGTGCCTCTGGTTGGCTTTGTGAGGATGATTCTGCACTTTGAAAGGTGAGGCCTCACATCTTTTGGTGAATCCGTAACTTGAAAAAGTTAGAAATTGCATCTTGCCTATTTCGTTGGCATAAGTCGAAAGAGATGATGTCTTCTCACGCTATAATTTACTGATAAGTGAGTCTTTTGCTTGCTTAAGTTAGTCTTGCGAAACCCTTTTACTGGAAAGGGTTAAGAAAGAGTTCAAAGATGCTTAATATATCATTAGGATTCCATGTTTAGTACCCATACTGGTCTCCGTTTTCGTTCTGGTGGGAAAGGGGCACAAATTTAGGACTGTTATCGATTTGGACCCATAGGTTTGTAGGTCTGAGATTTATTGAGTGTCAGTTCTCTATTACAAATTACAGTAACACTCTGGTATATCTGCGATCAAGCCTTCCTCCTTAAGATTTTTTCTATCTAAAGTTAGGTAAGAGACGAGTGTTGTATTTATTTACCCTTCATCCTCATTACATAGTTGAATGCTTGCTTGTATCTGTATGTCAATTTGTAAAACCTTCATGGACAAGACAGAATGTAATAGGATGATTGCTTATGTCTGTTTGTCAATTTGTAAAAGCATGATCATATCTGTTTGTCAATTTGTAAAAGCATGATCGTACCTTGGGTGCTAATTCCTGAGTTATTTCACGTGATGATGCTTGTCTAAGCAGATTCTTGAGCCGTTATTCATGGGGTTGGAGAAGAGTAAGAAAAGTGTGATCTCACTACTAAATACATAGAAGTGGATCCTCTTTTCCTATTCTTTGACCTTATCCTTTGTGAAACCTTGAGTTTCTTCTTTTGCCACGATTGCTGGTCACCCGAAAGAAGGCAATTACTGTTGTTTTGGATGGGTTTTCTAATTTTCTTGTTTATTGATTTCACGGCACAATTAATAGTCTGAAGATGAACTGAACTTTGGGTCTCTTTTTGTCCATCTACTTGCACAAGTGGTAATATAATTAAATACATTACTAGATTTCCTCCAATGCTGTTCCTGTTTGCTTTGCTGTGTTCGTTCTATTTTTCTTTTCGAGGAAATTTTGGATTCCAGAATGTGTTGGGTGTTGTTAGTAACCCAGCCTTATCTTCCAATCAAAGAAATTAAATTTGTGATGCTGACTTTGAAATTTTCAATATTATGTGTTACTCTCACGTGGTGCCTTCAATTCCTGATGATAGTAAGTTCAATTTGCTTAGCATAATGCTACCTTTTAGGATGAAATTTCTCAGTAACATTACATGATATTGTTCTTTTCAGATTCAATGCTCCCATTTTGTCTTATGATTAATGAGCAATATCCTTGACTTCTCGTTAGTGGTAAGTGATTTTTCGACGATTTCTCTCTCTGCATAATGAGAATTGTCTCTCACGCTCTGAATTGATCAAGCCTGTGTCATACTAATGTGCTGCGTCTATCCACTCTCAGGCGACACTGTGTCGACGGGGAAAAGAAATTCTGAGTCCAACCCTTTTGCACTAGCTTTATCTTTGGAATGTCAACCCATGATGATGTATTAGTAATTGGAAGCAAGCCAATCTTGCTTAGGAGTGAAAAAATTCCAGTCATTGCTGCCCGTTAATGTTGTTTTAGTTTCTTTCTTTTTTTTTTGAGTTACTTTGTACTACAGAACTTGTTCTGCGATGGTACTCATGTAGCAAGAGTGGGAAGAAAAGAGATTATGGCGTACTGTTGTAAATCGTCTCTATTATCATTTTTCTGTCTTGTGCATATGAAAAGAAAAAACAAGATAACAGATTCAACCTAACCTGGTTAGTCATTTGATGATTTGGTTCTGTATTTGCGGCGGGTTCACAATTGCAATCTATCCGCACAAAAAAAAAAAAAAACCTTAAACCAGCCCGACCGACCCGGGCCTTGGGGTGTATGTTGAACAGGGTCTCGGGGTGGGTCTGGGCAGGTCAAGCATGACCCTGTAGGTTTTGGGTCAGGTCGGGTATCATGAAAGCCTGACCTGACATGACCGATTGACACCCCTAGTACATATGTTCATTTTTTCTAATATGGAGAGAGTTCGACCACAGAAAAAGCTCCTTCAATTTCAAGTTTTGATTATAAAAAAAAAAAATCAGTGAACTCCATTCTTGTAACATTAGGATAAGCAATCTGGCTAGTTCAACTCAGGAATCGAACCGAGCTGACCTCACCTAATCGGTTCACACAAGGACTAGGAAGGTTCCTAGCTAAGAATTGAGGGTAACTAGCCTTGACTGGTTGGGTTGAACTTAAAAAACGTAGAAAATCCATCAATACTTTAACTACAATGCCACCAATTATGCATAATTGCATATGGTTTGTTTTCCTGAGGCTCCAGTTTTTTTGTGAAAAATGAATGATTTTAAAAAAAATTGCTTATATCGCTTAAAATAATTAATTAATGAAAAATATTTTCATTATCGACAACAGTTTATATCTAAATATTTTTGTGAGTGAGAAAAATATTTTTCAGTCATTTATTTTTGTAAGCGATATAAACAATCGTTTTTTGAAAAATATTTTCCAAATCATTCATTTTTCGTAAAATAAACGGAGCCTATATTAATAGTTATAATAGTTATAGTTATTCTCGCTTCCCAAACAACCGGGGAACCAGTCGGCTTCGATTCCAGGGCGGTTCCTTAGGGAACCAGAAACCGACTCTGATAAGATAGGTTCTAGTTATTTGTCTGAAACCTATTCATCTTGAAACTAATGACTCCTGCGTAACATGCATGCGCATGTTTTAATTTATATGTTTGCACAATACAAGACAACCTATGGATTTTCACTTAATCTTTTTTGCGATAAGTAACTTTGTTGCTCAACGCCATAGAGACGTGAGAGAGCAGCACCCACTACAAGCCCCCAAAACTAAAGCAACCATACAAGCCCATCTCAATGAGCCAAAAGAAAGTCAACAAAACCACAGTACTATAATTCCTAGTCTGACATAACAGCTTCTTGGCATTAGATAACATCAGCTTCCTGTCATGAATCAATGGAGTCATCTTTACTCCGAAATCAAGCTCTATATAGTCTTCACAACATGCTGGGGTCGAGGAAGGAACCATTTCTAGGTTTCCTCACACGAAGTAGATTGTACCCTTGAAAGACGAAAGCTTTATTAGAGTTCTAGGAAAAGACTTCCCCTTTGAGTTCCGCATAATCCGGGCGAGCTCAACATCCCGACCACCGGTAGATCGAGAATAACCAAGAGTACGGCAGCAAGGATTGCCATACCGAGTTAGAGAAGTGGCGATCGACGAACAAAGGCTGCCTGTAGTCGGGTGCAACTGAGTTTCCATCAACGGAACACCTTTTCATGAGCCTAATCAACAGACACCACTTCTTGAGCCTCTCCGATGTTTGAAATCTACTTAAAACAGCAAAGCCATGTAATGACTCCACGCCAGTCTATGCCACTCAGACTCTCTGCCCTTTAGCTCCAACGAAACCCCTTCCTCCTGAAGAACAGCCTGTGAAGATCAACTCCAGCAGGAACACAAGAACAAGGCTTGAGGGTTCCACATCCAGTCATTATCACATGTGACAGCTGCGACTCTAAAAGAGTGAATTTGGAGCTGGGTCATAGACAAATTGACTTTTGAGCGCACAGTCAGAGACAATTCGGACAACATAATTAGTTCATAAGATTTTTTTTCACTTGTTAGGCCACCACATTGACTACGAATCATATAGTCCTACGATTTCATCGACCGGTAAGCTAATGAAAAAGATTGCAAACCGTCATTCAAGGATTTGCAGTCCGATACATTTCCATCATGTTACCTTGCCAAACCCAGGCCGACCTAGGAGATAGCGTAAGGACCGATGTTGCATTGTTTGCCACCTTTTGTCATAATGTACCTAGTCCACGCCTAGCAAGTGTAATGTTAGGACTTGGAGTTCAAATAATTTCATGTGAAGTACCCATCTATAGTCTGGCTCTCTTTTACCATCTCGAATTTACACCACGACCTACCAAACAACATATAGATTAGACATCATAACGAAGTTTTGAAATTATATGAAGATTGTATCGATTCTAATCAGCTCTATTATACGTACATGATATTATGTGATTCGTAGATTAATTTAGTTTGTCTAAGGCCTGAAGAAATTAATTTAGTTGACCGCCCCCATCTAATTCAATGTGCGAAATCCTATGCTTCATTTCAATCTAGTGACAGTCTAACTCACTGTTGACCACGCTTAGTGGATAGTATTTTTGGGTCATATTTTCCCTTGTCCCTAGTTGAAGAAAACTTCCTCTAACTAATCTTTTGATGTATGAATTACAACCATGGAAGTGACCTGCATTAAATTTTAGTTAATTTATGGGATGAGTACACTACAAATCTTAAAACTTATCAATAAAGTGCAATTAAATCTTAAAATTTTCAAAAGTGCAATCAAGACATGATCTTTTTACTGCTTTCTTTCTCATATGTGGCGTCCTACATGGCATTACAGTTAAATTAAAGCACTGAACCATGTCCTTTTAGTGCAAATCATATTTTTTACACCAAATCTTAATTAAATTAGGTTAAGAAAACTTTAAATGTTTTCCGGTGATGGGGTGAAGGCCCTGCCTCTCCCACTTGTAAACTTTTTTCTATTTCTATTTTTTAGTTTTTTTTATAAAAAAAAACTTTCGGACTTTTCTTAACCTAATTTAGACAAGATTTGGTGTAAAAAAATTAGGATTTAGACTGAAATGATGTCGTTTTAATGCTTAAAGACTACGTCAGCATTTCCTCCAACCATGTTTCGAAAGAGTTAATAGAGGGAGTTGATTGCACAAATTTTACCGGTTTTAGGATTTGTTTGTACCTCTTAGAATCTTTCGAATTCAACTGCACTTTTCCGACAAGTTTCAGGACTCGCAGTGCACTTATCCCTCGATTTTACCCATAGGCGACGTCTTTGGAAATCGTGATTTACCCACTAATTAGAGGCATACGACCGGATAAAAATTGCACGGCCCTAGATTTTTCTCAGCCAACCGCGAGCAACTTCATCACTTCCCCTCCGAAGAAAGAAGCACGTCTTCGGAAACCGGGGTCGGGGTCGATGGGATCACGAAGGAAAAGAGGGGCCAAAAGGACGGGGTGGGGGCTGATCAAATCGAGGCAGCCGTCGAGTGCGGCTGTTCTCGCGGCGGCATGGGTGGATGAGAAAACCGCGCATCATTCTCTCGCGATTGCCCGGACCGTGGGGTTGAGCCTCAACTTTTCACGATGGAACTAGCAGTAATTGCATGCACGAGTCGAGGTCAGGGATCCGAGAGAATTGTTCCTCAGCAATAAGTAATTTACATACTCCAATAATAATAATAATAATAATAATAATAATAATAATAAATATATTATAATAGAGATTATAATACAATTATCAAGAAGTTTATCTAATGCGAGGAAGGTTGCTTGAATTCAAGATCCACAGTACTTAGTTAGGGTTTTCTTCTTCTTTTCTTTTTTCTTTTTGAGTTGACAATATACTTTTCGTTGGATCCACAGCTGAGAAAGTACAGATTCTACAGCATCTCACCGATTTAAATATAGTGCATCGATCGTAATTTAATTAGTATTCGCCAATGCGATCTCGAGAGTTTAGGTACGATGGTAATAAGATTTCAAAACAAGAATCATCTCGCTTGATTGAATTGAAGAGGTGCGCTAGAGCGCATTAAGTTGACCTAGATGATGTATTTCACCGACATGCCAGAAGGATTGTGCATATATTTATAAACAATCATCTGTAATTTCTTTCATGAATTTACTAGATTGCACCTTTGTTACAGATTTTAAGTTTTCTTATTATACTTTTTGGGTATCCGATAGTTCAATTTGGTGCTGAAAATTAATGTTCAAAACGCAATGAGATTAAGTTTGTTTTATAACCCTAATTAGTATCGACTCAAAAGAATCGGTTTAGTCTAAATTTTGCTTATTTAGATCAATGGCGAATGGTTAGTAATGCTAAACAGAAACCGATAGTAATAAGACTCTCTCCAATTATACTGTTTGGAAGAAATTAATCATCGTCATTGACCAATTTTCATTTAATAGCAAACCATTATTTTTTATTTCAATTCTCTGCATTTAAGATTATCAACATATAAACTTCATTACCTAAACTTTCAGCGCTAATTTTTTTTAATTTTTTTTTAAAGAGGCCAGTAACCTTTACCTTTCAATTTTAAGCGCATTAAATATTTCTTCGATTGTAAAAATTTTTAAAATTTTTTAATTCAAATAATCGAACTTTTCAAGCATGCCTTAAAACTAAATATAAATAAATTCCATAGGAGCATATAAGAGTTTCCCTAAA